AATAAAATGGCCCCATATGATTTCCAAGGCTGTAAATCTTTACGGACACACAATGCATCATCTTTGTGCTTCAGAGAGCCTGGTGGGTTTTAAACCGCCGACCTTTTTATTAGCAGCGAAATACTTTAACCCACTGCGCCATGAGAATGTCTCCTTGACATTTAAAAGCTCAAACTCATCACTACTGAGCTGATTCTGAATCAGTGTCCCTCCATCAAGCTGCAGAAGCTGTAAATCTTAGTAGGAGTTAACTTTTTGAGAATTTTTTTATTTTATTAATTTTAATAAACATTTACAGAGATTTTGGATTTCCATTCATCCATTGTTGCACTTTTCTCCCTGCCCAGCTCTCCCCACTCCTCCCGCCCTCACCCCCCCCCACCCCAGTTTGCACCACTCTTTGAAAAGCGAAAGAAAAATTCCTTCTTTGGTAGGAGTTGACTTTTAACTCATTGCCATTGAGTCAGAATCGACTCATTGCTGACCCTCCAGTGGGTTTTCAGAGGCAGTCAATTACATGGGAGGAGATTGCCCGTCTTTCTTCCAGGGAGCAACTAGTTGATTTGAACTGCTTGCCATCCGGGTTGGAAGCACAACTTCTTACCTATGAGACCATCAGAGCCCCCAGACAGGCCCATATAAAGGAAAATTTAAGTCAGCACTTGCAACAGAATTTTCTGTGACAATAGCAGTAGTCTACATGGGTGCTGTCCAGTGTACCTGCTGGGCTTTGAAATGTGACTGATAAAAAGAACTATTGTTGTTGATGTTGTTTTTGTTGTGTACCATAGAGTCAGAACTGACGCATAGCTGACCTTCCAGGGGATTTTCAGAGGGAGTTAATAAGATAGAAGAATTAAGTTTTTAAATTTTTGTTTATTTCAGTATAAATAACCGTATATGTGTGTCTACCACATTGGATAAGAGTAAGCAATGCTACAAGACAGGCTGTCAGGGACCTCTCCAGAGTGCTGAAGAGCAATGATGTTAGTGTGAAGACTAAGGTGCACCTGATTCAGGCCATAGTCTTTGTAATTGCTTGCTATGCAGCAGAGAGCTGGACAGTGACTAGGGATGACAGAAAGAGAATTTATACCTTTGAGCTGTGGTGCTGGAAAAGTACTGAATATGCCATGGACTTTCAGGAGAACAAAGAGGTTCATCCTAGAGAGGATGAGACCAGGCTGCTCCTTGGAGACAAGGATTCTGAGACTTCATCTAACATACATTGGGCATGTTGCAAGGAGAGACTGGTTCTTGGAGAGGGACATGCTTGGAAGGGTGGAGGGATGGAGAAAGACAAGGAGACCATTGATTAGATGGATTGATACAGTGACTGGGGTAATGAGAGTAGGTGTGTCGGAGACAGTAAAGTTGGCACAGGATAGAGCAGGTTTCAGGGCTGTTGTCCATAGGTTCGCTATCAGTCACAAGTGACTCGACAGCACATAACAACAACAAGAAGATGCTTGACAATATGTGGTGGGGACATATATGTATATTTGTTATTGTTGTGTGACATTGAGTCAGAATTGGCCCATAGATAGCTGACCCTCCAGTGTATTTTCAGAGACAGTAAATTGCGTGGGAGGAGGCTACCCATCTTTCTCTCATGGAGTATCTAGGGGATTTGAACCACGTGCCCTTGGATTGGTAGTGCAGCTCCTTACACTAGGCCACCAGAGTGGCTCAATACGTATATTTATGTATAAAATAAAACCATGGTCTTTCTTAGAGGCCAGGATGCTGAAATTTCACCTCACTAACTTTGGGCATGTGGCTAGGAAGGGTTAGTCCTTGGGAAAAGACATCATTCTGGGAAAGGTGGAGAGCCAAAGAGAGGAAGACCCTGAACAGGATGGATTGACAGCAGTGACACAGTGACTTTAACAATGGCCTCAAGTATGTCAGAGACCATGAGGACGGCACAGGATGGGGCAGAGTTCATGCCTGTGGTTCACAGGGTTTCTATGAGTCGTAGTCAACTTCACAACAACAAAAAACAGCTCTCTCATATATATATATATATATATAGTTGTTGTTGTTGTTGTTGTTATGTGCCGTCGAGTCGCCTGCGACTCATAGCGACCCTATGTACAACAGCTCTAAACTCCGCTCTGTCCTGTGCCAATCACACTGTCTCTGACACTCCCATCCCAATTATCCCAGTCACTGAATCAATCCACCTCATAGAGGGTCTTCCCCTCCTGCGCTGTCCCTCCACCCTCCCAAGCATGATGTCCCTCTCTAAGGACCGGTCTCTCCTCACAACATGTCCAAAGTATGTTAGACGGAGCCTCAGAATCCTTGCCTCCAAGGAGCCACCCGGTTTAACCCTTTCCAGGACAAATCTGTTTGTTTTCCTAGCAGTCCATGGTATTCTCAATACTCTTCTCCAGCACCACAGCTCAAAGGCATCAATTCTCCTTCTATCCTCCTTGGTCATTGTCCAACTCTCTGATGCATAACAGGTGATTGCGAAGACCATGGCCTGTATCAGATGCACCTTAGTCTCCAAAGAGATATCATTGCTCTTCAGCACTTTGGAGAGGTCCCTAACAGCAGACTTTCCCATGGCAATGTGCCTTTTAATTTCCTGGCTGCTGGTGCCAAGACTGTTGACTATGGAGCCAAGCAAATATATATATATATATATTCCACAATCAACACTATTGGTACCAGCAACCAGGAAATCAAAAGACAAATTGCAATGGGAAATTCTGTTGGTAGGGACCGCTCCAGAGTATTGAACAGCAACAATGTCAATCTGGAGACTAAAGTGTGCCTGATCCAGGCCATCGTCTTTGTAATTACTTACTATGTGTCAGAAAACTGGACAACAAAGAGGGATGATAGAAGGAGAATTGATGTCTTTGAGCTGTGGTGCTGGAGAAGAGTATTGAATATACCGTGGACTGCTAGGAAAACAAACAGGTTTATCCTGGAGAGGGTGAAAGTAGGCTGCTCCTTGGAGGCAAGGATTCTGAAGCTCTGTCTGGCATACTTTGGACATGTTGCCAGGTGGGACCAGTCCTTGGAGAGGGACGTCATGCTTGGGAGGGTAGAGGGACAGCGCAGGAGAGGAAGACCCTCTATGAGATGGATCGATCCAGTGACTAAGGTAAAGGGGTTAAGTGTGTCAGAGACAATGAGCTTGGCTCAGGATAGAGCAGGGTTTAGAGCTGTTGCACATAGAGTCGCTAGGAGTCGCAAGTGACTCAACGTCACATAACAACAACATACACTTAAAAAAAAACAAACACAACTCATGCCATGGAGTTAGAATCTCGCAGCTGATCCTCTAACAAGTTTTCGGGGAGGCTGTAAGTCACAGGGGAGGAAGTTGCCCGTCTTTATCCCACTGAGCAGCTGATGAATTTGAATGCCAGAGAGGTGCCACCTACAGACTGCGTCACCAGAAAATAGACACCATGTTTCCCCATATAACATCCTCATAAATAATGCACACATGCATATGACAGACCTCCTGGGAAACTAGTATGTACAGGAATTGCATGGGTCTCGAAAACACTGTGTGCACTGCTAGCATATATTACAGTACGTGGTAGAAGAGTCGGAGGGACCCATGGTAGAATTCTTGCCTTCCAAGTTGGAGACTCGGTTGCCTGGTGCGTCCCAAGCACATCTTTGTGGATCTGCCAGTGAGGGTCCCATGTTCCTATCAAACCAAACAGGTTTCAGCGAAGCTTCCAGACTAGACCCTGACAATCTTCCTGAAAGTCAGACAGTGACACCTTCAGGCTGTCATCATGATGGGGAGATGGGGAGTGTGTGTGTGTGTGTGTGTGTGTGTGTGTGTGTGTGTGTTTAGGGAGGGGTTGGATGGCTTCATGGCACCTGACAACAACAAAGAGGAGCAGAGAGGCTCCTTATCGTCTTCTTGTAGTTTAAAAATACTCTGGCAAACTCTTGTAGAACGAGACTGACATCAGGGTTGGGGTAAGACTGAGGAAAAACTGGATAAATTATGTATACTGGATTGAAACAGATGAGGGAGAGAACCGTTTAAAAGCGATATATGGTATGATGGTTATGACAAGAGTCCAGAATGAAGGCTGCATAGTGGAGTGTACTCAGGGTGGAGGGGATTGTATACCAATGAAGGAATTTTTCTTTTACTTTTCAAAGAGAAGAGCGAACTGGGGGGTGGGAGGGGCGGGTAGAGAGAAAAATGCAACAATGAATGAATGGAAATCCAAAATCTCTGTAAACTTTCATTAAAATGAATAAAAAAAAATATTCTGGCAATAAGACAGGAAGTGAATTTTACCGAGCACTGTGTACCAAGGATGGTGCTAAGTTTCTGGTAGCTGTGGTGGCCTAGTCTGTAGGAAGCAGTTTGAATCCACGGGAGAAAAGTGGGCAATCTCCTCCCGTGCGATTTACAGCCTGGTAAAACGGGCTACAGGGTGAGCTAGGCGTCTGTTCCCACACATCTGTGCTACCCCTCCAAGGTCTCAGAGCAGGGGTGTGCCAATCTACCCAGCAAGGTGGAAAGGCCTGGCAATCTGACGAGTGACAACTCTCTCCGTGCAGATCCGGGGCTCTGACGCACACGGGGTCACCATGAGCCTGAGAGTCCAAAGTCACTGGGCTCAAGGTCACAGTCCCGAAGCGGTTGGTGGTGGGGACTTGAGAGGCAGGCAGGAGGCTAGGCATCTGGCCGGCTCGTGGCCCTGGTCCCGGGCGCTCACGCGCGCGCGCCGCGCCGGGTGCGCTGTGGGCTGGGGTGCTGCTTGCTGAATGGCTGGGTGGATGGATGCGCGGATGGATGAATGAGAGAGCGAGTGAGCGCTGAGGGGGAGGCCCGTCAGGGCTGCTCCGGGGAGCAGGGAGAAGGTGCCAAGAGCGGAGCGCAAGTCGGGGCTTCTCCGGGGCCACCGGGCTGCGGGAGGGGCGCTGGCTTAGCGTCTCACGAGCTGTTCTCCGCCCCTCCCGCCCCCTCCTCTCCCTCTTCCTCTCCCCCACTCCGCCCCCAGCGATTACATCATTAAGGAGAAGACTGTCTTGCTGCAGAAGAAGGACAGCGAGGGGTTTGGGTTCGTGCTCCGGGGTGCCAAGGGTGAGTGCCGGCCGGGGAGGGGGTGGGAGCGAGACGCGGGGCTGAGGGAGGCGTGGAAAGGGGACGGGGCCAGGGACCCCAGGTCTCCCACCGCCCCGCCCCCCGGGAGGGGGGGGCTGGTCCCTCAGCTACGGTGTGGCCTCCGTGACTTGGGTCTGAGCCCCATCCCCTGCTCGGCCTCTCCACCCCCTCCCCTCCGACCCCGCCGGCTCCTCCCCATCTGCAGCGCAGACCCCCATTGAGGAGTTCACGCCCACCCCGGCCTTCCCGGCGCTGCAGTACCTGGAGTCAGTGGATGAGGGCGGCGTGGCCTGGAGAGCCGGCCTGAGGATGGGAGACTTCCTCATCGAGGTGAGTTTGGGGTCTCCCCCCCTAGAGGCTCACAGCCAAGCGCAGGGAGCGCCCATGCAAATGCAGGTGCCTCGGTAGAAAGGCCTGGCAACCCTCTTATCCAAAAGCCTGTTGCTCCTCTCCAGTGAGATTTACAGCCTAGGAAACCCTTACGGGGCAGTTTTGCTCCTTCCCATGGGGTTGCTGTGTGGCTGTGACTGTCCACCTGACAGCTAACGGAAAGGTCCCCCGCTGGAGCACACCCAGCACCTGGCCACCTGTTCCTTTCATAGATTGTCTTGGGTGGTTCCAACTTTTAGCAATGTTGTGTACGACAGAATGTCACACTGCACGTTCCTGGGGGAGATGGGAGCTTTTGCAGAGAAGAAAACGTAACTCTAAAGATACAAGAGATCTATACAAAGAAAACTACAGAGCATTTCTGAAAGACACAATGAAAGACCTAAAGAAATGGAAAACCGTGCCCTGCCCATGAATAGGAAGACTCAATATGGTGAAAATGACAATTCTACCAAAAGGAATTTACATGTTCAATGCAACCCCAATCCAGATACCAAACTCATTTCTCAAGGAGATTGAAAGGAAAATTATCCAATTTTTTTGGAGAGACAAGAGACCCCAAATAAGCAAAACACGTCTGAGAAACAAAAATGAGGTAGGAGGTATAGCACTCCCTGGCCTCAAAACCTGCTATACAGCAGTGGTAACCAGAACAGCATGGTACTGGTCCAATGACAGGCACGTAGACCAATGGAACAGAAATGAGAACCCGGAAGTAGACCCAGCTATCTATGGTCAACTGATATTCGACACGGCAATCAAAGCTATCAAATGGGGAAATGATAACCTTTTCAACAAATGGTGCTAGCAAAATGTTAGTGAGGCAGTTCTAGTCTGCTCACAGAAAGAGCTCTGGTGGCCTAGTGGCAAGAAGCTGCACTGCAATCCTAGAGGTGCGTGGTCCAAATCCACCAGATGCTCTGCTGAAGAAGGAGGAATAGTCGCTTCCTGTACCAGTCAGATCCGATTTGACAGTACACGCATAAATAATAATAATAATAATAATAATAATAATAATAATAATAATAATGAAAGAGCTCTGGTGCCTGGTCGGTAAACTGTGTTGCCAACGCAGAGGTACGCAGTTCGAATCCACCAGCTGTCTCTTTCGATGGGAGTAAGTACACCTGGAAACCCACTGGAGGGCCAACTGTGAGTCACTTCTGACTCCACAGTTCACAACAACAACAACAACACTCTATACACAGAGTGGCTATGAATCAGAATCTACTTAACAAGGCACACACAGCCCTGGAAAGGGCTCTCCCGTCTCCAGCCTCCAGCTTACCTCATGCAGCCCTGTCTAACTCCCTTGCAGGGGCTCTCACACCACTTCTCTCTGCTGCTCGAAGCCCAAAAGCTCGCCTTGGTCCCCTGCCTCCCAGCCCAGGCCCTACCTGCTTCAGTAATTCCCTTTAAAAGCTTTTCTGGAGCATCTTCAGAGCTACCGAACCCCCGCCCCAAATACAACACTGGGAGACAGAGAGGGAGAGAGATGTGACTAGCTGTAAGCAAACTTCTCTCCCAACCCAGAGGCCAGGAGGGTTACAGGATGAGGGTCATGCTTGGAAGGAGGGGACATTAGTGGTGAAGGGTCTTGGAAAAGGCAGGGGACTCTGGGGCTGAATACAACTCCCTCTCCTTTACACAGTGTGGTTTGAGAGTGCCTGGTGTGGAGAGTCTGAGTGGTGGTTCAGCCCTGAACGTTTTATCCTCGGGCACTAGGGAAGAAAGGAATCATCTTAAAATTCCCAGCTTTGGAAAACCTAGCTTTGGAAAACAATCTGATCAAAAGGGCAGCATTTGCCCTGAAATAAAGCTCGGGCCTTGGAAAAAGGGTATCCTGCTTGGAAAGGCGGAGGGTCATCAAAAGAGATGAAGAGTAGATGGAACAATGGGCTTAAACACAACCCACAGAGACTGTTAGGAGGACGCAGAATGGGGCAGGGTTTCATTCTGTCAGACACAGAGTTATTATGAGTTGAAGTTGACTCAATCTTGCTGAACAACAGCAAAGCTCAAAAGGCAGGAAGGGGAAGGATGTGTGGAAACAGGAGTCACAGGGAGGAAGGGGGAAGAGTGAAGCTGTCATTCGTGTCATGAACCAAAATGTGTATGGTTCGATGGAAAACAGATTTACTTGGTAAATGTTCACTCAGCAATAAAAGGGGGGGGGGAGCAGCTTTGTAGCAGATCTGCTCTGTTGCCCACAGAATCAACCCGAGTAAGTGTGTTGACTCCACAGCGACTGGTTGGTGTTGGTTTTGTTTTGTTTTCTTTCCGCGGGGGGCCCACAGGTGAACGGGCAGAACGTGGTGAAGGTCGGCCACCGACAGGTGGTGAACATGATCCGCCAAGGAGGCAACACTCTGATGGTCAAGGTGGTGATGGTCACAAGGCACCCAGACATGGATGAGGCTGTCCACAAGAAAGGTGACCCTCCTCCAGCCTCTGGCATGGCCAGGCGTCACCCTCCACACACCCCCACCCTGTGGCCACCAGTTTGAGTCCCAGGAACCCCAGCAACAGGTCCCCACCTCCAACCACCTCTTCCCCAAACAGGGCTACTATTTTTTTTGTGATCCTGAAACTGAGACAGGAAGAGAGAGCTCAGTACCCTTGAAGTGGCTACCCTCTGAGCTCTGGGGGCACCGAAGAAGGGGTCCTGGGAGCTTCTAATGCCACCGTGCTGACAGCTGTCCCTTCCTCATCTTCCCAGCACCCCAGCAGGCGAAGCGGCTCCCGCCCCCGGCCATCTCTCTGCGTTCCAAGTCCATGACATCGGAACTGGAGGAGATGGGTGAGCCTGCCGAGGGGCGAGGTGCGGGGAGGGTGAGGGGACGGTGGGGTGGGCTTTCCCCGTCCTCCCGAGTTCGTTAGTGTCTTTAGTGACCCGGGGTCCTTGTCCTCATCCTGTGCTCCAATCCATGGTCGGACCCTCTGGCTTGCGTTTGTGTGTGCGCGCATGCGCGCCTGTGGATGTGCGCGCGCGCGCGCATGAGTGTCTGTAAATGTGCGCGCGCTGGGGAGGAATGGCTGAGAGTCACTTTTCCTCTGTCCACTCGTGTCTCTGTTCTCTGGCGGACCCTCTCTTGGGGTCCGTGTACATCCTTTTCTGCGGGTCCCCTTCCTTCTACCCCATCTCCATTGGTCCCACCTCACCCACCCACCCCCATTCTCCATCTCCACCCCACCAGACCCACACCCACCCTCCAACACCACCTCCGACCAACAGAGAGCAAGGCCAGCCCCCCTCCTCCAAACAGAACCGAGTGGACCTGGGGGGGTCCCCGTCTCCTCTGACTGGAGGCGGGTCGGGCAAGCTGATCGCCCGCACCCCAAGGCCCCCGAGGGAGGCGGGAGTCCCAGAGAGGGGGCCCCTCGCTTCCCCCTGACATCCTAACTCTTGGCTCCTCTACTGCCTCTCCCCTGGGCTAGTCTCCCCCTGGAAGAAGAAGAGTGGTGAGTGGGCACAGGCCTGGCGGGAGGGCCCTCGTCCGGATCCCGCCCCTCCCCGCCCCCGGCCCCTTGCGCTTGCGCGCTGCTGGCCCGCTGGACACGCTCACTGGCCGAGCCCGCGTCCCTCACCGCCGCCTAGGGGCGCCCCTGGGCTTCATCCGCGTCCTTTGCCCACAGAGTACGAGCATCAACCTGCGCCGCTGCCTAGCATGGAGAAAAAACGGACCGTGTATCAGATGGCTCTCAGTAAGACGGCCCGGCCCTGCTCCCGGGGCTGCCCAGGTCCCCCCACTTGGATCCCATGCACGCCCGACTCCATCCACCGCCCCCATCCTCAGCCACCACTGCGCTGACCACCTCATAACCCAGCCATGCTGGTCCATCCAGTCTGAGCCTCCTCGTCTTCCTCCCTTCCTGCTTCCCCTCCACTCTACTCTTCCCTTCTTGGAAGGCTGTCCTTGTCTCCACCCACAGCCTGGACCCTACTTTTCTCCCTGCCTGCTTGGCTAGGAGCTGGGGTCTCCGCTCAGAGCCCTTGTCCATGGGGGATGGAGGAAGGGGCGTCTTAATGTGTAGCAGCAGAAGTCCTGCCCCCCTCCCCAGGCCAAGCCCCAGCCAACTCTCTCTGCTGTCTCTTCCCCACTCTTCCCCGCCTCTCTTTAGACAAACTGGACGAAATCTTGGCAGCAGCTCAACAGACCATCAGTGCAAGCGAGAGTCCTGGGCCTGGTGGCCTGGCGTCCCTGGGCAAACATCGTCCCAAGGGCTTCTTTGCCACTGAGGTAGGAGGCCTGGGCTGCGAGGAGGGGTGCGGAGGGTGGACGGTGCCAGGAGATCGGGGGGGGGGGGCCTGGAAGCCTCTTCTCTTTCGCACATCCTTCTTGTTGTCTTTGCTCTTGTCCGGTGATGTCAGTGATGTCGAGGGGCTTCTGTCTCACAGCATCACCACAGTAAGGAGATGGGCCTGCTCCACAAGGGTTTCAAAGCTGTTGTTTTTACATGAGCAGGTTGCCAGCTCTTTCTCCCTCACACCTGCTGGGGTGGAGGGTGGTTTCAAACTGTCCGCCTGTCAGTTAGAAGCCAGGTACTGCTGACTGTTCATCTCTCCTCGTCTCTGTGTCTCTCCCCTGCCTTTCACTCCCTCTCTGTCCTTCCTTTCCTATTTCCATCTGTCTCTTCCCCCCCTCTGTCTTTGTCTCTCTTTCCTCATCTCTCTCTCTGTCTTTGTTTCTGTTTCCCTCTGTCTCTCTCCTCTCCATCTTCCTATGGCTATCCCTCCTTTCTGTCTCTCACCTGCCCTCTGTCTCTGCCTCCTGCATCTCCACCCCTCCCCATCTCTCTCTCTCTCTCTTTCTCTCTCTCTCTCTCTCCTATCCTGTCTCCCTGTCATCTCTTTCTGTCCTTCTCCTGACCTCTGTCTCTGTCCCCTGTCTCTCTGTCACTCCCCCTTTCCCCCTCTCTCCCTCTGTCACAGTCTCCATCTCTGTCTCTACCTCCTCTTTTTGTCTCCCTGTCTGTCTCTCCTCTACTTCTCTGTGTCTCTGTCTCCCCTCCTCTTTCTCTTTCTATCCCTGTCTGCATCCATCTCTCACTCTCTATCTCTCTCCCTTCCTCTCTCTCTCACTCACTCACTATCTCCTCTTTGCCGTTATCTACCTCCTTTTCTCTTCATTTCCCTCCTCTCTGCTGCTCCCTCTGTCTCCCCTCCTCTCTCTCTCTCTCCATCTCTCACTCTACCCCTTCCTTCCGCCCCACTCCTCTGCCTTTCTCTAACCCCTTGTCTCTTCATTTCATTCCTCTCTGCTTCTCCTCTGTCCCTCCCCTCCAGGCTCTCCTCCTCATTTTGCCCCTGTCAGGGATTGCCCCTGAGGCAGATTTCCTGGTTCACCTCCAGCCTCTAGCCCATGTCCCCCCAACACCCCCTCCCCCCAATGCCGGTGCACATTTCCCTACAAGGCTCCCTGGACAACTCATTGCAGTCTGCCTGGCAGCCGGTGGCGTCATTGACCTCTGATGCACACTGATTGGCTGCCCTCTCTAGGCCAAAGCCACTGTGTTCAGTTTGTTCATGGCGGTCAGCCTGTCAGTCAGCCTTTTGCCTCCCTGGACAGTAGTATTCCTCTGCTTCCAGCCTGCCCATCTTATGACACGCTTCTGTGCTTTTTACTCCTCTCGGTGAACTTGAAAGCCATTTTTCCCCATTCTCTCCTCCCATATCATCACCTCCTGCCCTTAAGCTGATCCTAGACTCTACCTTTTAGCTTAGAGCGTTAAGCCTTGAGCTACTAGCAAAAGGCCAGAAGTTTGAAATCACCAGCCACCTCTTGGAAGAAAGAATGACAAAGCCAATTACCCCAGTTAAGATACACAAGCTCAGAAACCCAATGGCCAATGTGAGATGGAATTCCAATTTTTGGAATCTCTGTGAGAGCAGATGGCCAAGTTCTTCTCCTGCGGAATTGTGCGTGGTTTGAATGGCTGATCTTTCTGTTAGCAGTTGAACGCTTAACTGTTTTGCAGCCAGGGTTCAATCCTTAAGTTCCCCAGACTGGAGACCTCTTCCTGTGCTGTCTGTATGATGTTATCCCCTCCACGTCTGGTTGCATGTTTGTACTGCACTGAATTTCCAGTGGCTGATTTTTTGCAAGCAAGTCACCAGGCCTTTCTTTCTAGGTGTATCTGAATGAATTTGAACTCCTGTGGTGAGTGAAAGGACTTAGGATGTTGTGTGAGAGGAGGAAGCCTCTCCAAGGAGAAGATTAAGACCAAACAAATTCACAGCCCTCAAGCTGATCCCAACTCATGGCGACCCCCTCACATTCCCAAGGCTCCATATTAGGAGCAAAGTGCCTCATCTCTCTTCCATGGTGTGGCTGGTGGATTCGAACCACCGATCTTCAGTTGGCAGCCCAAAACTCCCTAGTGTGAAGACAGTGGAGCAGAAATCTGGGAAGTTTTCTTCTAGTAATTCTTCCACAACTTTTCCGGTGCCTTTACTTCCTTCTTCCTGTTCTGGGATTCCAGTGATGCGCATGTTATTTCTCTTGATGGTGTCCCACATTATTCTTAGGTTTTCTTTTTTCCCCCTTCCTTTTTGATTCTGCTTTTTGCTCTAGCAGATCAGTGGTGACAATTCTATATTCTATTTCGCTGGTTCTGTGTTCCATCTCTTCAACTCTGCTCATGTGTCCCTCCATCATGTTGACAGCATCTGAAACATTGGACCTCATATTTTGGATCTTGGGTTCTTGTTTTTCCAGTGCTGCTAATGTCTCATTTGTTTATCTGCATTGTTCTGGATTGTTTTTTTGAGCTGGTGGAGCAGAAATCTGAAAGGAATCTGTTTCTCCCCTGCCTAACCTCATCTCACGCCTCTGTCTCACCCTGACTTACCTGCTCCAGAGACATGAGCCTCCTGGCTCTTCCTTGAGCATGACACACTTACTCCCACCTCTGAGCCTTTGCACTGGCTGTTCCCTCTCCCTGGCACACTCTTCGCTACATATCTAGATGACTTCCTTCAGGGGGTTGCCCGAGTACATTCTCAGTGAGACCTTCCTTGACCACCTTCTTTTCTTTCCTTCCCCTAGAATTTCTTTTCCTTTTCTTGTTATTATTGTTGGGAATATATACAACAATACACTATTTCTACTGTTTCTACATGTATGGTTCTGTGACATTGATTACATTTTTTTTCCTTTTTCTCATTGTGTACCATCAAGTCAGATCTGACTGACACAGGAGGAGATTGACGCTCCTTCTCCAGCAGAGCACCTGGTGGATTTGAACTGAGTGCTTTGGGGATTCCAGCACAGCTTCTTGCCACTATGCCACCAGAACTCCCTTGATTACATTTTTTAAAGTTGTACAAGCATTCTCCATCTCTGAGTGGTTCTCCCTCATAACCATAAATTTGTTGCCCCCTCCACCCAGGCTTCCTATCTTTCCATTTGATGTGGTCAAATTGATCCCATGCAGGGAGGAGCTCTGGTGGCCTACTGGTAAGAAACTGCACTGCAATCCCAAAAGTAAGCGGTTTGAATCCACCAACTGCTTTGCGGGAGAATGATGGGCAATCTCCTCCCATGCAATTAACGAGGAAAATAAAACCCACTGGAGGGTTGGCGACGGGTTGGTTCTGACTTGATGGTACTCAACAACAACAAACACAACAGTTTTTAAAAGAGTGCAACACAATTCTTTAAAGCCTAGTGAAGCAATATTGTTGTTTGAAGATTCTTCCAGCAGATCGTTTGGGTTTAAAGGTTAAAAGATTGTTTCAAGGCAATAGTTTCAGAAGTTCACCCAGCCTCCATAGCTCCAGAAAGTCTGGATGCAACAAGAATTTTAAATTATATTCCACATTCCTCCCTCCTCCCGCCACCCCGTTTTGATCAAGATTCTTTTCTAGAATCTATGATCAAAACATTCAGTTATGTAGAGGTGTGCGGTTCAAATCCACCAGATGCTCTGCTGGAGAAGGAGGGACAATCTCTTTCTGTACCAGTCAGATCTGATTTGATGGTACACACACACACAAAATAATAAAATGTAAAAACAAAACAAAACAAAAAACCCACCATTCTATTTTATATTCAATTCTACTCCCCCTGCCTCCTCTTCCTTACCCCCACCCTAACTTGTGTTCTAGTTTACTAATTTATTTTCCTTATTATGGTCTTATCTGCCCATTATGTGGACAGCCATTTTTGTCTGTTTGGTTTGCAGATGGATCTGCAGAATCTAGAACAGTCCCTAGCACAGAGAAGGTGCTCGGTGGATATTTTGTGGGATGAATGGACGTGATAGATAGAGAGATGGGCAATTTCAACCCAGGGAAGGGAGTGAAAGGAGAGGGGTCTCAGAGGCCCTGGGAAGGTTTTGAGAACCACCTAGGAGGATAAAAAAATATTTTACAACTGCTCTTTACAATATAATAGCCGCTTCCAGCTGCATTCGAGTTGACTCTTGTCCATCATGACCCCATGAATGTAGAATTGTTCTCCATCAGGTTTTTAGAGCTCTAATTTTTTATTTTTATTGTTACAAGAGCAACATTTTATAGGACTCATTCAACCATTCATGCTCGGTTTTGTTTTATGCCATCAAAGACATTCTCTATAATGTAACCGCACTCTTCCCTCTCCCTTTCTGTGGTTCTTGTTTTCATACATCTTTTTTTTTTAAATGTGTGTACCGTCAAATTGGATCTGACTGGTACAGGAGGCAATTGTTCCTCCTTCTTCAGCAGAGCTCCATACATCCTTTGATGGGACCCCTTCACGCCTTCTGAGCCCTATCGCTGGGCAAATGCTGCCTTTTTTTTAATCTTGTATAATTAACAATTAGAAGGAATGAAAGCTTTGCCTGGTATTACTGTTCACCTTACCGACCTTGTTCAATCTGCAAGTTGAGCCACAGTGTAGAGGCTACACTCTTGAAGGTTATAACTTGTAGCATTTCTAGATGGATTGACATTACAACTGCAACAATGAGCTTGAGTGTAGTGGAGATGGTGGAGATGGCGCAGGATAGGGCAAGCTCTCAATGTGTTGTTGATAGGGTCAACATGAGTCATGAGCAGCCTCCTGGCACCTACCAATAACACGTTCACAGGGTTCTCAAGAAGTGATGTCTTTGAGCTGTGTTGTTGGAAAAAGAGTCCTGAGTATCTCACGGACTCCCAAACGAACAAACAAATATGTCTTGGAGAGGGTGCAGTCAGAGTGCTCCTTGGAGGCAAAAGATGACAAAGATTTGTCTGATACACTTTGGGCATGATGTCAGGAGAGGCTTACTCCTTGGTGAAGGACATAGTGCTTGAAAAGATGGAAAGTGTGTGAAAGAGAGTAAGACCCTCAACCAGATGGTTTGACACAGTGACTGCTGCAAAGGATTCTAGTGAGTCAGGAGATGGGAGGATGGCACAGGATAGCAACGGAGTTCATATCTGTTGTTCATTGAGTCATTATGAATTGTACTCAACTCAGTGGCATCTAACAACAGTAACAACCACAGCATGGGTCAGAGACAACTAAAATGGAAACAGGTTTTTAATTGTATGGAGGGAAGCTTGGTGGTTCAACAGACCGTAGCTTAGTGGCAGGGAGCTCAGCCACCAACCCAAAGGCACAAAGCTCGAATCCACCAGCTATTTTGTGGGATAAAGATGGTCAGACTCCTCCAGTTCCATTTACAGCCTCTGAAAACCCGCTGGAGGGTCAGCTATGAGTCAGTGTCGACTCAGCAGTACTTAACAAGAACAATCCTAGAATAATTTGTAATAAATAGAGCTGTAAATTGCTTAAATGTACTCTTTCTTTCATGATGCCAGTACTAGCAAAATTGTTTGGTTAAATCTTCCTACATCAAGTTACACTCTTAGAATAAAAGGAAAGGGGGAAAAGAAACACTAATAGACAGGGCTGAGGCTAAAAAAAGAATTTCCCTTTTAGTTACATTATTAGTAACTAAGCAGAACCTTTTAAAAGGGTTTTTTCCACCTTCTTTTTATAACTGCTTCATTCTAAAAACCGTTATTGATAGAGGTTCACAAATACTAGTTACAACAGTATCGGAGAGCTGTTAGTGTTAGGTGCCAGCCAGCATGTATATAACAGAAAGCAACACTGATTACGGGTCCAACAGAGCCAGTAGTGGAACCCCTGACTCTATGGCCTTTCGTCTTGCTTTGAACCTGGGGCGGGGGGGTCGCCTCTGTAACTCAACTTTTAGCCAAACAGTAAATAGATGGATAAGGTGGACGGTAACACCAGAGAGGCACTCATGCTTTAGAATAATCAACCACATGAGGCCAAAAGGGCAGCACAGGTCCAGAGACAAAGCTCAGGAGGCAGAAGTGGTAAGCTGGAAGGATGAATAGAAATGAGAATCACAGGGAGGGAATGGGACGAGTGAAGTCACATTGAAGGTGTTAGAAATTATGAAAATGAACAGGTTCACCCTGGAGAGGGTGAAACCAGGATGCTACTTAGAGGCAAGGTTTCTGAGGCTTTATCTGACACTTTGGACATGTTGCAAGGAGGGACCAGTCCTTGGAGAGGGATGTCATGCTTGGGAGGGTGGAGGGAGAGCGCAGGAGAGGAAGACGCTCTATGAGGTGGATCGATTCAGTGTCTGGGGTAATCGGGATGGGTGTGTCAGAGATTGGCGCAGGATAGAGCAGAGTTTAGGGCTGTTGTACATGGGGTCACAATGAGTCGCAGGCGACTCGACAGCACATAACAACAACAATTATTATAATTAATTGCAAAACAGAAATATGTACAGATAATTAAATGGAAAACCAATTTGCTTTGCCCTCAAAGCACAATGTTGTTGTTGTTGTTTGATGCCGTTGAGTCGTAGATGACTCATAGCGACCCTATGAATGAACAGCCTGAGCACTGTTTGTACATAGAGTTTCCCGAGGCAAGCCATTTTGGAAGTGGATGCCGCTCCTGCTTCCAGGCTTGATTTAGTCGGGAAGCTCCAGCCAACACCGTCCACCATGGGTACCCGTTACCACCATTGGCACATCACTGTCACAGGCTTCAGCATCACAGCAACCACGAGTTA